CCCCAAAACCCCAAAACCCCTTGAGTAAATATCCTTGGTAATTGAATAGTTAGTAGAATTACTATTAAATATAGTTGAATTTTGAAGGAATTAAAGTCAGTGAGAATTACTACTTCTTGTAAAGTAACTTTCAAACACGTCAATATGAGACTCTCCGTAGGGGCCCTTCCACTTCACAGTCTTCTCATTCTTCTTTATCATTAAGTTGTTGAAAATCACTGTGAATCCGTTTCTCTTCAGCAAGTCTGGGATGTGATAGAAGTCATGCAAAATTTCAGTCTTCATTGTCTTCTTCTTAGGCACATTAGCCTTCTACTCATCAGTTAATTCCCAATACTTCTGGTTCACAGTCAAGAACACTCCAGTCTCCTTAATCAGAGCTGGGTTGTAGGCAGTCACCTTGATACCAAGGTAGGTGTTGTTATCATAGCCAAGCAGCTGTATAGTCAGAGGCATCTTCTCTTTGTTGATGTCAAGGAGCTTCCTAATGTGCATGACACATTCTATCTTCTTCTGACTGATATTTACCTCCTCCTCGTAGTCGCTGTCTTCTGCATCGCCTTTGTTTAACTCCATAGTAGGCATATGTAAAAATGTAGTTTGCAGCAATAGTGAAGCCATCATGATGTGCTGGGATCTATCTACTGCTTGCTAGGTTTGTTACTCGTCCTTCTTCTAGGAGTCTTTAAGTGGGTTTTGGTTTCCCAGAGGCACTCCGAAGGTAATCCAAATCTGATTGTAGTCAACCACCATCCTTCTCTCTATTTGCTCAATTACATGCTTCTTAATTCTCAACTCATATAGCGTCTTGCAGACAATGTGAAAACTCTGCGTCTTTGGGTCATCCTTTACACACCATAATTCTTATAGCTGACCCTCATCTTTTATTCTTAGCTGGTAAATCAAGCCAGTCCTTTCGTATACAATCTATAGTGATAATTTGATATGAGATAGTTACATAAGGAAACTGAACCTCCTAGCCAAACTCATTGATGAGGTAGGTCTCAAACATCTTGAGAGCATTCTCAATCTCAAATAAGAAATCCTTGTCAACCATTTTAATTGAAGTGAGTCGGACCTCTCCGTCTTTCAGGGGTATAACTTAGCCATCTCTCTTGAAATCTGCTGGATCTATAGTCTAGAAATACTTCTCAAAGCTTGACTCGTCGAAGTATAAATCTAGGTACAATGAGTTAGCACTCTCTCTAGAAAGTTAAATTAGCAATTAATAAACTTACTGGTCTAAAGAAGTAATTGCTAATCTGAAATATCTGTCACTGGCATAGTGCAAACTCACGCTGCATAGGTTCTTTAAAATTTCTATCTAAGTTGGCTAAGAGAGTAATCCAGGTGACCTACCCCATATCTCTATAAACCTCTCGTTTGAATTTCGATTAGTCACACTTTAATTGTCTATGTATATATTTAGCAAGTTATTATATTACCAGCATTTCCTGGAGTTGAGGTTTCGTCTCCTCTATTTTCTTGTGTTGTCAAAATAAATGGGAAAATAAAGTATTTGCAGATATCTGTAAAAGTTCTAATATTCTTAATTGGCAAAAATGGAGGCAAAACATCTTTCACAATGATCAGATTCAAGATGCTCTTCATCTCAAAGAATATCAGCTCCTCATCATTAACATTAATCTTAGGGTCCTCGCAAATACCATTCATTTTGAAGATGGGCTTCCCGTCCTTGCCCAAACACCCCTCACAGTACATTTTGTAATAGAGGCCCTCACAGAAGATAACCTGAGACACGATTTTTGGGGTCTTGAACTAAGCAGCCACAATTTCATTGTTGAGAATGATACTAGAGTCATATAACTTGATATCTTCTTCTATTATTTCGTTTAATTATTCCATAGTAAAAGTATAAAGTTACTCAGTTGGCGCATTAGCTGACTCTTTAATGCTAGATACGTCTGATAGTGCATTACCTTTTTATTTAGAATCATGATCTAGCTTTAATAGTGCAGACTTGGGAGAATCTTAAACTTTTAGCTCTCCGTCCTTATCCATGTTAGGCGAATTTATGGGGAGACTGGTAGATTCACCCTGCTTTCTAACATCTTTGATAAGTTTAGAGGAGGATTAGAGTCTCTAAAGTGACTTTATTTACTCCTCCTTAAGGTCTTCTGCCTTGGCCACTACTGAATAGGAAGAGCCTTAAAGCTTGGATGGCTGCCTTATCAATACTGGCGACTCCTTCTTAACTTCCTCTTTGGGCTTCTCTTGGATCGATATCTTGATTGGGGGGTTCTAATCAGCCGTCCATTAGGGCTTTAATTGATCCACAATGTTTAAGAAAGAATTATTCTTAGAACTAGGCTTTGATTGTTTTTCATCGGGAATGGAGATGAAGCTAGATGTGACTATTTTATTTTCTAACTACCTGCTCTTCTCATCATTATTTGGTATTGAAGAAGCGAAATGAGAGAACTATGTGTGCTATGACTATTATTGTTGTTACTGTAATTGCTCTAGCAACTTCTTCTGTTATTTTTCAGCTTCTAACTAAGCTTATTTCTATTACTCTAGCATACTTTTTCTTTCTTGTTCTAGTATTTCCTATTACTGCTAAATAGCGCTCTTACTTTCCTGAAGTTCTTTTTACTACTGTGCCATCATTTGCGTAAAGTTATCTTTTAGATCATTGTATTTTTCTTGCTGGGACATAAGGTTTTTAATCATATCTTGATACTCTTTGAGTTACTAATCTTTCTCTCTTTGCAACTGCTCTTGGCTTTTTATATACATGTTTTCCACCTCTTTTGCCTTACTCTCGTTTTCCTTCAATTATCTCTTTTCCTGCTCAAGCAGCCGTTCCTCAAGTCTCAACTTCTCAAGTTGTAACTACTTCTCCTGCTCGACTCTACGGTTTTCATCTTGAATTCTTTGTCTTTCAAGTAGAATCTCGTTTTTTTCTTGAGCTATTTTTTTCTCGAAATCTTCCTATTTCTTTTGGAAATCCTCCCACTTCTTGGAGAGGTCAGTTTGATTTTATGAGAGATTTTGAAGCAAATCCTGTATCTTTTTGGCATCCTGCTCCTGCTGTTTTTACATCTGCTCTTGCTTAGTCTTTAACTCGTCTTCCAGCTGCTTCATTAACTCTTGCTTCTTTTTCTTGATATCGTCTTATGAACTTTAATTCTTGCCGTTGTAGTCCATAGTCTGTTCTTGGTTTGCATTGTTGTTGCTGATCTAATTTTCTTCCTGGCTGTCTTTAACCATCTGCATTAGCTCTGAGCGCTTTCTAGATTCAGTTCTCGGGTTAAACTGAGAATGAGAAGACGAGTGAGCTGAGTCAAGTACCGACCCGCCAGAATTATCTTTGTTAAGTTAGTGCTAAGGGTTTGGGTATGCTGTAATAATTTTTCTCTTATCACCCTTGCTGATTACGTTCATAGAATGTTATTAAGTTTATTATTTATTAGTCGTTACTACGTCAACGATAATATCACTCTCATTGGGATTCATGATAGGCCCATAAGCTGAAGCAGCTCTTTAACCTCCTACTTTTGAAGTATCGTGCTTGATGCTTCTTTGAGGTGAAGGCCCTCTCATTCCATTGCCCATAGGCTTTGCCATTCTTCTAATGAATCTTTATGTAAAATAATGGTCTTCTCCAAGATATTTCTTGCCCATCTTAAATCCGTGTTCAAAAACTGTTTAGGCATATTGTATGTTGCCTACTTTGCATTGGCTCACTCCTAGGTTAAAGTATGCTATCAATAGAACTTAAAGTCTATCAACGAAACCTTTCTCATTTCTTAGATCGAGACCAGAATTTTACGCTTATTTTATATCTGAAAATAGTTTGGGCTCTAATGTCATCACAGCATTTTTAGATGCTTTGAATGCAGCTGGGAAATTCTAAGCTTTTAGCTCAAGTACAGCTAGATTGTTGTGCGATATAGCTAATCCAACTACATCTGCGGCATTATTGGCAGAGACCTAAGTTAGATTGGACTGGGAAGATGGGGCAGACTCGATTACCTGGGATTCAGCTGACATCGCTTGATTTAAATAGAGTAAAGCAGTTTAATCATCATTAGTCCTATAGAGTTGTAAATCTAAGAATTGAGTTACTTTTCATAAAAGCAGCTGATATTTGAAAATAATGTAGCCTTGAGGGCAGGTGGCATATCATGAGAGAGTGCTTAAGCTTTATCAAGAAGTATTTAAGCTTTTTCGAGCTCATTACTGACCGTAAATCTACTTGCATGTTCGTTGCATAACAAAAATAACGTTCTCTTTGCATTAAAATCCGCTGATTCATCACTCAGCATGATACTGATTGCATTGGGCTTGTTAAAAAACTTTATGATGGCATCTCCTGCCTCAGTTACTCGACTCTAAAAATAAACTTATAAGCAAAAAAAATTTTTAAAAAAGAGTATTTTTAATGGAGAATTTCTTATTTTTTCATAAATTCGACTTGCCTGTTGTTTGAAAAAGTTATTGAGCTCAAATATATGGCGGAAACAGCAAATCTTCTCCGATGTGAGAGGATGATAGTGCTTTGGCTGGAAGCTGTGAGAGGGGAAATTCTACATTGAATTAGGATGCTAGTTCATCTATCCACTATAATAATTATTTGACATATTTAAATTTTTATTTAAGATCCCTTAACATATAGTACTAGATTACTCTCACTCACCTTCGGACTCGATTTCTAGTATCAGTGTTTATTCATATTTCAATTTGCATACTTGTTTTTTAATCCCCTCACTACCCATCATACATCTTTATGGGGTTTTGGGGTTTTGGGGTTTTGGGGTTTTGGGGTTTTTGGGTTTTG